TTAACCTGACGAGACAGGGGAACACTAACACCAGGGACCAATAGAGGGAGCACAAACCCAAAACCCAGTATCTAAAATCCCAAAACACAAACCATCCCAAAACAGCCCATAAAGAGAATAACAACAATAAGGAACACAAACACAAAGTCACTGAGTCATGGCCGCAGGACCATGACACAAGTAGTCTGATTGTAAAGGGCAATCATGGCAGTCCTCCTGGCAGCTCTGTGAGACCGGAGATTGACTGTTGGTTTCCATATTGTTCAGGTAAGGAGCTATCAGTCATATAGTATAAAACTCGTCATCCAAAGTTATCGGTTAGAAAAAACATGAATGGTTTTTGGTCACTGCCACATTCTCTACACAGCACTTAATATAGAAGAGGACAGACTGAGTGAAGGTCTTTAGGTCCTGCTGTTTAAAGATGGACCAGTCCAAGTAAATTCAGGAACTAATGAGAAACAAATAAATTAAATCTCTCTCTCTGAAAAAGGTTATAAAGCCATTTCTAAAGCTGTGGGAGTCCAGTGAACCACAATGAGAGCCATTATCCACAAATGGCAAAAACAGAACAGAGCTTAAACTTACCAGGAGTGGCCGACGAACCAAAATTACCTGAAGTGCATAGCGACGACTCATCTAAGAAGTCATTAAAAAAAAAAAAAAAAACAGAACAGCATCCGAAGAACTGCAGGCCTCACTTGCCTCAGTCAAGGTCATTGTTCATGACTCCACCATAAGAAAGAGATTGGGTCAAAATGGCAGGAGCAGGAGCTCAGCGAGCTGCAGGAGCCCAGTGAGCTGGAGGGGCCCGTGCTGCCTGCAGAGGAGCTTGGCGAGCCGGAGGAGCTCAGCGAGCTGAAGGAGCCCATGCTGCCCGTGGAGGAGCCCGTGCTGCCTGTGGAGGAGCTCATTGAGTGGGAGGGCCTCAGCACACCAGAGGGGCCCGCGCTGCCCAAGCAGGGGGTCAGCACACTGGAGGAACAAAGTCCATGTCCAGCACAGCCTTCACGGCCACGTCCACGTTCTGCTTGGCTGGCATGTCATGGATTTGTTGCAGTGCTACGCCGGTAGCCGCCGGAGCTGCCACGACTGTGGCCGCCGGAGCTGCCACCCATGCCGGGTGACATGACACGGGAGTCTAGAGAGCTAACGGGATTTATTGTGTTCTTGTTATTACATTTTTCTAGTTACAGAAATTTTAGAGGGATATCCCTCAATACTGTAAATGCACAAGAGTGTCTTGCTAATTTCATTTTTGACATACACTAATTCTTATATTATTGTGCACAATTTGCAAAAAACAGCATGTGCATTAAAATACACTATGTCCTAGGAGCCATACAGAAAGGCAAACATGAATTTCAATAGCAGCAGTGAACCTTCGATAGGTTCTATAAGGAAAAAAAATAGGACATCATTTTTGGTTTCTGCAGGTAATGGCGGCCATATGACAGTTCCTGTTGACAACATAATGATGTTTATTCCAATGTAGAAAGTGCTATGAACACCTGATGTTTTTGTTGCTGCGTGCACAAAGGAAACCACAACCAGAGACATGTTGAATGCATATGTGATTACATTTTCATATGCAATAAAGTTATTCCTCTAGCTTATTTGGTTGCAATTCTATCCGGATTTAAAATTAATTACCCAAGGGCACCATTTTTGCTCACTGCGTTGAGTCCAACCCGCAGCCCTTTACTGCCCAACTGTCCAGTCAAACATACAAAAAAATAGGAAATCTGAGAGGGGGCAAACACTTTTTCACATCATTGTACACATCAAAAGCACTAGCAGTGAAACCAAATAGAAACCAAAAACAAAAAGCAACACAAAACCCAGGACCAGAGAGTGGTGACGAGTGATAACAGCGCTGAGAGGATGCTTAAATAAAACCTGTTTGAAGGCCAACCTTTAAGGTTAGCCACTGGGAGACTTCTTTTTTCTGACTAGAAAATTAAAATGAGGTCTGATTTTTAGATTTAGTTTCACCATACACAGTTCAAAAATGTCAAAAAATTAAAAGTCCCATCAATAAGGACCCTTGAAGCAACAAGGATGCTAATTGACTGATAGAAAGTTAAGCATTTGTTATTCTTGGGAGCACACTTCACAACCCTCTGTTGGACCTTTGGTGCACCCCTGAAGGACCCCTGGGAGGCCCTCAGACCCCAGTTTTAGAGCCCTGAGGTGGTGAAACCTAAGGTGCCGTGGTCTGTCAGTGATGCATCTCGCCTCAGCTCGCCTTGCTGTCACAACTACGCTGCTGTCACTGAGCAGCTCGCAGGGCTCAGGATTTATTTTTGGATTATCATGGCGCCTGTTCCTTCCATTTGCAGAAGGGGGGTCGAGTTGGGCTCAACATGAACCTGCCGCTCTGACACTCCGGGCTGGGACAAGCAGGCAGCAGCCGGCCGGCCGCCCCCCAAGCAGCAGTCGCACAGGTAAACACACCATAATTACGCCTTTTGTTCTCCAAATAGAGCGTAGGGACACTGTTCGCAGGGTTAGTGAGGCAGAATCAACCCCCCCCCAACTCGGCACCAAGGTGTCTGATGTGATTGGGGAGCTCAGGGTGCTTTTTCTTGTCCTCAGTGCAACATTAAAGCACCAGCAGGGATGAGCTAGGTGCTAATCACGCACTGTTTTGGCTTCAAAAACACACTCTGTCCTCTCGGTTATTTGTCCTCTTCTGCAATGAGGTCAATGAGATTGACTGTACTCTTATCTTCTTTTGTGTAGTTCTTGAGAATAAAGCTGCTCACTGTTTTACAATGAGCTTGAACCTGTGCTCTGTTCTGTTAAGGGGAACCTGCCTGGAGTGCTTTTGAACATCAGCAACAAGTTTTTACCTGGTAAGCTCTCCCATTTTTCATCAAAAACCACTGTTTGCTGTGATTGATCGTCATAACTTCAGGTTAATGACTTTTTGGGGTGGATTCATTTGCTTAAGCAGGGCATTGTGGAGCAGCTTGGCCTTTATTACACAGCTATTATTACTCTTTCCTCTTTTGAACTAGCATCCTGAAGGCACTCCAAATACCAAAACTACCAAAGCCTTAAAAGGAGCAGTGAGCATCTCATGTGTCAGGCAGGCAGCAGGTTCAGACAGGGAGATGTGTGCATGCAAGGGTGGGTGGGAGGTCTAAAACACAACCAGCACTGGCCTACATTTCACTGAGGTGACACACATAGTAAACTGAGGGTATCAAACACTCGTTTTTGCAGACTTCATGATGTCAGCGTTGCTTTATTTGTAACACGAACCTTCTTATTACTTCTTATCAAAAACATTTCTGCATCTTATTTTAAGCTGACCTCGACTCTGCTGTCTCATTTTCCATTAATTAAAAAAGAACTACAGAACAGTCCATTAGAAAATATATCTCCTAGTCTGAGGTTCATGATCCATTTCTGTTAAGTGGTGCTGTCATGTGATTGGACATTCTCAGTGACAACATATTTCCCAGGCCCTATCAGGCGTCTGGGAGCTGTGATGTCATAAGGTCAGATGCTTTGCATTCACTTTCACCCTTCAGCAGAACTGCACATACACGTCTATATGTGTGCTTTTATTTATGTGGGGTGAGACATGAGAGGATATGTGATGGAGCTGCCCTCCATTTCTGTCTGGTATTAAATATCAAACTATGATTTATGGCCTGACTGGGAAAGCAAATATAACCTTTTTTTTTTTTCAAAATAATAACACCAACACAAGGTAAATATGTTGAATTCTTAAATTTAAAGAAAGAAAAGTCTACGTGCAAAGTAAATCATCTCACTAAATAATAGGGAGATACCCAAAAATCAGCCATTTATTGATTCTACTGGTTTTGACATTGGAGAATGTACAGGATTATTGTGACTCCATGACATGTTCTCTAGCATCACTATTACCAAGAAATATCTATGCATGAAGCTATATGACACAAGTCAATTAGTTAGACTACAATAAAATAAAGGCCTGGATGTAATAACTTTTTCTATATTCAGACAAAATTGTTCTTAAAAATCAAAAAAAAAAAATCACAGAAACATGTTGTCTAAATACACTGGACGGTATTACCTTAGTCGTCGGCAACACTATGGAACCTGGGAGCAATTTTTGATCAGGATATCTCCTTGAGTGCACATATTCAGCTAATATGTAGGTCTGCTTTCTTTCTTTCTTTGGAGTATCTATAAAATTAGAAACATCTTGTCTGAGTATTGCTGAAAAACAGGGGCTAAAAATAGGGATCACATTTCTCCCACATTGGCTTCTCTTTGGTGGCTGAACAACTGGATTTAAAATTCTTTTAAAATTCTTTTTCTCAAATACAAAATTCTCAATAATCAGTCCCACCTGATCTTAAAGACCTTCTAGTACCATAGTATCCTAACAGAGCTCTTTGAGGTTTCTTGAGTTTCTGAGAGTAGAATGGGAGGAAAAGCCTTCAGCCATCGGGTCCCTTCCCTCTCCTGTGGAACCAGCTCCCAGTTTACCTTTCAGCTTTTGTTCAGACCGCTGCGATACGTCATGTGAATCACTGTAAGCTTTTCTTTTGCACTCACCTCTTTTCAGTCCCCATGTTTATATCTCACTTAAGCATGTCAATCGTCTTCATCTCCCTTGGTCTGTGTTTTGTCCTTGTCACCTCATTATTTTGTTCATCCGCTTTCACTTCCACCCCCCAACTGGTCGTGGCAGATGGTTGCCCATCCCTGAGACTGGTTCTGCTGGAGTTTTTTTCCTATTAAAAGGGAGTTTTTCCTTCTCACTACGTGTTTGCTCATAGGGGGTTATTTGATTGTTGGGGTTTTCTCTGTAGCGTCTTAATACTGTAGCGTCTTTACCTTACAGTATTAAGCCCATTTATGTGGCTGTTGTTGTAATTTGGCACTACATAACTGAACGTGAGGTGAATTAAAACTAATACACATTATCCTCCATCTATGAAAATTATCATATTGCAACTCCCCACATTTTATAACCTTAAATCTTGAACATGTAGAATGAAAGCCATAATAAACTTGACATTATTAGCTCTGATATTGATGTATAGCAAACTGTAAATAATGTATTGTCTATTGAGAATCTACAGATTCAGTTATAAGATTTTAAGGTCACAAATTGACAGTTTCTTTCCGTTTCTTTGACTTTCTGTTGAACTCTGAAAATACTTATACTAAAGATACTAAATACTAAAAAATACTAAAGTGACAATTCTTTAAGACAAAGATATAATTTTGTGAAAAGATTTCTGTGTAAGTCAGTAAGTTTACTAAGAATAGACTACGCGGCTGCAGTCAATGGAGAAATATAGCTTGCATTTATATACATTCATCTTACTCACTTCTCCTGTTACACCAAGTTTGTATCTGATGGCTTTAAGGCAGCTGGTCCTGCAGAGACTCCATCTGAGAATCCGCATCACAGCTCTCTGATTTATTGTATTTAGGAAAGTGATGCGGCCTGTAAAAAACCAGGAGTCTTAAAAAAAGAAAGCAGGTGATTGGCCAGCGTCCGCTTTGCCTTCAAACTAAAATTAGGCTGTGAAACAGGCTTCCAGCATCAGCTGTGAAGGGGTATCATAGAGCAGGAGGAGTTCAGCTTGATTCTTTGGGTGGGTGTTTCAGCCTGAATTGCCAATATCCGTCTTCCATCAGGACATCAGTGTTTGAGGCACAGGAAAAACTTTTCGAGAGAAGTTGATGTATTTTAACTCTTGCCAGACTAACGCCTTGTTCATATGCTAAGAATGCACATCTTTTCCATCTGTCTCCAATGGAATACCTTTGTATTGCTAAAATTGGGAATAAAATATTTCTGAAACAGACTGAAACCTTAGTAGTCTATAGTAACCCAATATCATTTTACCATACTTTGTACACTATAGGTGCCTGGTTAGTGGCTAGTAAAAGCATGCTAGCTCTCTGGTTAAAGGGGTTATTTTTTGCTGTTCATTGCCTTTAATGAAAAATGTAAATAATAATGATAATATATTTGTGGTAATAAGTAATGGATCAGTATACTGCTGCCTGTCCAATTGGTTGCTCATCCCATGGATTCCATTTCTACCAAGACTGGAAACAGATAGTCCCTCCCCTGCATTATAGGCGTGTTGAGTTTGGCATAAGTGGGACGTGAAATTGGTAGTGTAATAACACTACCAATTATATGGTAGTGTTATTACCAATTATAGACTTTACTGAGCAACGTTGGAGAAGCTTCCAAGTCTGAAAAATAAAGAACAATTAAAAACTGAATACTACATATTTGTTCAGAAGGCTAACGGAGGGTGACTGCTGTGGTCGCAAAAAGAGTCACATTTGCATTCTTACTAAACACTTTCCAGATGAATTCACGGTCTCAGGTGATAGTTCCAAATTTAACTGCAATAAACAGCAAACTAAGCTAAAGTGAAGACACAACTCAAGTAAAAAAAAGAAAGATTTTAATTTAATCAAGAAAATGACTTAAAAACACATACAGGTAAACATTGCAGGACATTAAAGGTGAAAAATGTCATTTAGTTTGGATGTTATTAGTCTTCTGAATTGCAGTATCAGTCCCATACACACCAACTTTAACTGCCCCCCTTTATCTTCCTGCAAGCAGAACAAGCTGCTGCATTGTAATCAAAGTTAAACAGTGGAACAGATTATGTAGACATCTAGTGGTTTTGTGAAGAAGTGTATACTGAGGCAGTAAATGTGAAATTAAGATAGCAGATGTCAGCTGTGTTTCAAATCTCTCCCAAGTCCAGCTTCTTTTGCTTTTGATTGCTAACAAATTTCCCACGTGTGGGACTAATAATAAAGGTTATCTTTTCAAGATTGTTCTTTAGCAAAGGTTTAAGTTCAGAACATGTAACACGTCAAAGGGTGAACCAACACTTCTATGCAATTTCTAAAATGTAGATGATTTCTATAGGACCCCTCCCCCATACATTTAATATTTCACAAAACATCACCATTCAGTGATCAACTAGACTTGAATTATGATTTACCAAAAACTGCAGAGGAGAAGAAAAACAAATAGCAAAGTTTACAGTCAGATATATACACAATACTAGAAATGCAATGCAAGAAAACATGGAAAGAAAGAGAAAATCGGTTAAATATAAACATTAAATGATCAAATGGTTTTGGGCTTGAGCTGATGCTTTCTTGTATAATTGTACAACCTCCACAATCTTGAGAAACCTCTATTTAGCAGTTTCTCTGTAGGTATTAACAAAGTTTTTCTGGTTCTGGTTACTTGTGTTAGATGTCTGTATCACCAGCACATTGTTGTGAGATCAAGATGGAAACCACTTGAAGAGCAGCGCCATTTCAGTAATCACTGTGACATAAATCTGCAAAAAACAACAAGAAAATTGTTGCAAAACAGTCAAACTCCCATTTGCGCAATTTTCAGAAACATTTTCAGGACCAACTTACTAAATCCTTCATTAATTTAAGTTAAGTTAAGATAAAATGCTGTGAGTCTGGTTACATTTCTGAAAGAAAAAGCTCAATGACCAATGTTAAAGACAGAATTTAAATCAATGATTGACTTACAGTCAGAACTAAAGACGAGGAACCAACCATTATTATAATCTTATTTATTTATTGGCATCTGGACCAGTTTGGTATTGTACAGGTCCAGAGCTGTAATCTTTGTTAGTTTTTGACAGCTTGTGACTTTTTTCTCCTTAGGGTGCTGAAGCACTCATGGCTGTCGCTTATGGTAGTGTCACCCAGCCAGGCCTGCTTTCCCAGCAGTACCCCCCACCCCTGCTTCCCAAGCCTGGAAAGGACAACGTTCGGCTTCAGAAACTCCTCAAAAGGACTGCCAAGAAAAAAGCTTCTGCTCAAGCATCACAGTCTACCGCACTTTTCCGCTCCAGCCTCTCCCCTGTAAATGAAGCAAGCCCTGACCTCGAGCACAGTGACCACTCCACCCCACCTCGCACTCCAGACACACCACAGAGCATCTACAGCAACCAACAGCCACCAAGGTTCATCATCAGGCTTCCGTATCAGCATGTGGCATCGCCATACCCACAGCGTGCAGCTTATGGCAGAGGAGCTAGGATGTCACCTCCAACAGTGGCAATGCCTTCATACTCTTACTCTCAACATGTCACCACAGTTTCTTACCCAGTTTACCCTGAAGGAGTCTCAGCAGCCCTGGGACAAGTCACTCAGCCAGGGCCACCCAAAGTGCTGCTGTTGGCTTCTGAGGTGACAGTATCTGCTGCTGAATTGGACACAGCTGTAGCAACCGCACCTTCAAAACCTCGAAGTCCAGGTCCAACTCCATTTACAATAGCTGGGGGTCAGCCAGTGATTAGACCTCTCACTGTGTTGACCCCACTGGTCAAACCCAGAAGTCCACGTCCAACATTTAAAGCAACCGAACCCTCAAAATCACCCAAACCCATGTTTGATGTCCCTCAAATTAGGATGTACACTGCAAGCACATCCTTTTACGAGAATTCCAGGATGCCACCAGTGTATGACACAGCTGGATTAACTGCTATTGGTAGTACATTACCTCAAAGTAAGACACCAGTTGAGACAAAACAAGCTACTCAGAGAACAACACCAACTTCAGATATTAAGAGAGGCATTACACCAACAGCAGAGATTAATGCCACCATTGTTCCTGCTTTGGAGATCAACACAGCCACATCAATATCTGAAATCAAAAGAGTCACGCCAACTGCCGAAATCAAAAGAGTCACGCCAACTGCCGAAATCAAAAGAGTCACGCCAACTGCCGAAATCAAAAGAG